TAATTACAGCCATATCCTTAATCAAGAAAACAACCCCCATATGGATGCACTAAACACAATACCTCAGTATAACAGCCTCGATGTATTAGATACCCCAATAACAGAACAGGAAATAATGGCATCCATAAAACAGCTTAAAAACAATAAATCAGCTGGCAAGTAAAGAACTTATTGGTCACCATACGGCTCTCTTTGATGTCATATGGGAAAGTGGAGAGGTACCTCAGGACTTTATCAACGCGAATATAGTGAATATATTTAAGGACAAAGGAAGTGCATCAGACTGCGGAAATTACCGGGGAATTTCACTATTGGCTATCGGCGGAAAAATTCTTACAAAAATTATGTCAAATCGCCTACACCCCCATATAGAAAAAATCCTCCCAGAATCGCAAACGAGTTTTCGCACCAACCGTGGCATAACCGTCGCGGTCGATTGCATCTTTTCCATCCGTCAACTACAGGAAAAATTAAAAGAGCAGCAGTCTAAACTTTATGTTGCATTCATCGATCTAACAAAAGTCTTCGACTCTTACAGACTCCAACAAATTTCTTACAGTGTGTAAAATTCTCCATAACAACAACCAGTCAAGAGTGTCACATCATGGATCACTGAGCGATCCCTTCCTGACAAATACAGGAGTTAGGCAGGGATGTGTCTTAGCGTCTCTCCTATTCAACATATTCATGGCAGCGCTCTCCACTATAGTGGACCTCAAACTGCAGGAGAGAGGATTGGGCATTAGTTACAGATATGACGGCGCGCGGCGGTCTGTTCAACATAAAAAGACACAGGGCACAAACACGTACAAAATTCATCACAGAACTTCAATACGCTGATGACTGCGCTTTAGTTGCAAACACGTTACAACAATTACAAGAAACGTTGAACACATATACCTGGGCATACGAGGCTTTGGGCCTTAAACTAAACATCGACAAAACCAAAATAATGTGCACTCCCACGGAAGATCATAACAATGCTATAAAAATCGGAGAACTATTGGAATATGTAGCGGAATTTAATTACCTCGGCGCGGCAGTTTGATTTCGGAAAAGGTCAATATCGACTCTGAATTTATTTAGCGCCTCAAGATCATTCTGGAAATTAAAAGACAGGGTTTTCTACAATAATGACTTGAGTACAAAAATGAAACTTGCAGTGTACCGAGCAATAATTATAATCCCCACCATGTTATATGGGAGCGAAACCTGAGTGCCGTACCGCCGACATATGAACGCATTAAACAAGTTGCAACAGAGACAAGAGACACCTTAAGAATCCGGTGGTTTCATCATGTCTCAAACGTATCGGTCCTTGAAAAAGCTAACTGCGGGACTATTGAAGTCATGGTTACAAAATCCCGCTTAAGATGGGCTGGTCACGTATGCAGAATGCAAGAAAACCGCATACCAAAATCTCTGCTTTACGGTGAGCTTGTAGACAGTAAGAGGAGGCCGGGTCGACAACTCAAAAGGTACAAGGACATTTTCCACGAAAACTTAAAGGGGATTAACATGCAGAATCATTGGGAAGAAGCAGTTCACAATAGAACTCAATGGAGAAGAATTGTAAACTCAGTTAACAGCGACAACCAAAAAGAAAAGAGGCATCAAAGCAATGAGATTTTTGAATGTCCACAGTGCGGTAGGCAAATTACATCACGTATCGGGCTTTACAGTCACAGAAAAGCTCATGAAAGAAAACACCTTACGTGACCATCTTTTGATGCGTGTCGAATACTCGTCAGCGAGCAATGGCAGTATGTATATGTATGACTGTATGTATGTATGTTATGAAAGTCAATAAACTATTTTTATTTCAAGTTTGCGCGTTTATATTTTTGTTCGTTTTTTGGAAAGACATTTTTCAATAATAAATAATGTGTATTGATTGGAAGTAAGTTTGGATACCTAATATTTTCGGAAAATGATTTTTTCTTAATATCCTGTATTCAGGTTGTTGTCATTGTCGGTTCCTAAATAAGTGCACGTGTGAAACCCTAATTAATTAGGCATTAAGCCTCCTTCCTTGAGTCCTTGAGGAATAAAAAAAACAATTATCATTTTTTATTAATTTTATATTCATTCCAAAAACTATTCGTGTTGAAAATTATACACAAAAACTTTGGCGAACTTCTTATCTAGCATTAAAGTAGAGATTAGATTAAATTTTTGTCCAAACCACTGCCAAAAACAGTATATTGTTTCATTAGGAGTAAAAACGACCCTTTTTGTGGCGATGATGTACGTTTGACATACAGCCGAGGCACAATAAGTAATTTTTTCTCCGAATACCTAGAACATTTTTTTCAAACCCCACAAATAATTTTTCAAACAATTTCAAAGTTCCAAATAATATAATAAAAAGATTTAAAAGTCATACTGTATACTTTCTTGTATGTAATTATATATAGAGAAACCAACGAAAAATTAAATTTGGCGTTGAGGATTCAGGTGGTAGCTCTGCTGTAAAAAATGTCAAGTACCCGTAGTTATTTCCTGACATTGTCATTCGTTTTGATACTTTAGTTTTGTAATACAAATGTTTGGTTTAAATAAATAATAGTGTTGTGATACTTTAAGCTTTAAATTGTTTACTAGCAGACCTTGCAGTCGAACATGGTTAGCAGGGGCGGATACAGGAATTTCTTTTAGGGGGGGGGGCCCAAAATAAAAAATCAATGTAGGGTCAATCAATCAAAATCCTTTTAGGGCCCCATTTTTAACCCAAGAGCCTAATATTTTACACAATTTACACATTTTAGGAGGGGCCCGGGTCTCATGGGCCTCCCCCCTGTATCCGCCACTGGGTTAGGTTAGAACCTCTTTTAGTGCGAAGTGTACAAGATAGCTCAATAGCCGTAAAAAACTCATCGCAACTTTATTAAAATATTTTGAACGGGAAGGCGATAGTAATGGCCCTTTATGTTCCTTAGGTGCTGTTAAGAAGGTGAGTTTTGTTGATTTAAATAATAACTATTTATACAGTGTGGTCCGAACTGTATTCCGGAAACTTCGGCAGCATATTCTGCAGATAAAAATAAGTAAGAAAGTTCGTATAAATGTATGTCCTAAAATATTAAGTTTCGGAGATACAGGGTGTAGAAGTTTCATTTTTATTTCGATTTTTTCTAAATAATTTTTGAAGTAATGTCAATATCTGGATGAAAATTGGTGTCTGGGAGTTTTGTGACACGAGAAATTTGATTTTGATGTCAAAACTATTTGTGGGGGGCGCCACCTACATGCGTTTTGTTTGTTTTGAAAAGTAATAACTTTTCGACGGTACCTGTATAAAACTACTGAGTAAAAAAGACTTTTTACGTAAAAAATGTCTCTTAGTAAAAATCGCTACGAGCAACCGTTCTCAAAATATTTAAAATGGAAATAGTCAATACATGTCATTATTGACAAAAAATAAGCACACGTTGAATAGAATTATTTGACTGAAATAATAAATTTTTATTTTTTAAAATTAATCATAAATTTTTCTGCGAAAAAATGATGATTAAACAGTTTCTGTTGAACTTTTGGCACAAAAAGAGTTCAAATTTAAGATTTCAGTCTAATAACTATTTGGTCAACATGTTTAATTTGTCAATGATGACAGGTATTGATAATTTAGATTCCAAATATCTTGAAAACCATCACTCGTAGCGATTTTTACCAAGAGACCTTTTTCACGTGGAAAACGTCGTAAATGTATATTTTTTTACTTAGTAGTTTTATACAGGTACGGACGAAGAGTTATTACTCTTCAAACCAGTTAAAGAATATGTAGGTGGCGCCCTCTACTAGTAGGAGTCATATTGACATCAAAATCAAATTTCTTATGTCAAAAAACTCCCAGACACCAATTTTCATCCAAATATTTACGTTACTTCAGAAATTATTTGGAAAAAAATCGAAATAAAAATAAAACTTCTACACCCTGTATCTCCGAAACTAAGCATTTTAGGACATACATTTATACGAACTTTTTTACTTATTTTAATCTCCATAATATGCTGCCGAAGTTTCCGGAATACAGTTCGGACCACCCTGTATATTTATCATTAATTTATTTTTGTTTTCTAAAATATTTTTATTAAAAGTAAAGTCAAGGTTAATCATGCGACTAAAAGTTTATTTGGTGTGAACTGTAATAATTTTAATGTTGAACCAAAAATGAGATTTTTTTCTGAAAAAAAACGACAAATACAATATACAGTATGCTCCCGGATTGTCTTTACAAGAGGATTTTTTTATTATTGGTTTGGTTGGGTTTGGTTGTGAATTAATAACAATTAGAGGAAAATGCATTATTCATAAAAAAAATTGCTTGTTCTAAAATGGTTAATCTGGTTTATACTTTTCCAAATTTCCATACCTTTTTGACAATATTGAGAAAAACATGAAAATATGGTTGAATTTTTTCTAAAGCTTCATTTCAAGCAAACATTTTTATGAAGAATGCATGATAAAACAGTTTTTTTTCTCTTGTAAAGACAATCCGGGGACATACTGTAGATGTCAAGAAAATAAAATCTATCTCTGCCATGCCCGTAGTTGTCATCCCCCTAACTTTACAATGAAGACATGACCGCCACTAAACCTCGTCCTTTATAGGATATATTCCGATAATTCCGGTTAGACCGTTATACGAGAAAAGATGCGCGTTTTTATCGGAGCCTCTTTGATTATTAGCGAGCATCCAAGTTTAGAGAGTTTAGCGGTCATAATATATGATCGTTCGGTAGCCAACCCGTTAAAACGGTAGTGGTGGTTGGTCGAAAACGGTTTTCACGAAAAGTACAAGCCGGCGAAATTCTAAATAAGAACTAGCCGTGATTAATATCTTTTGTCGAAAATCAATTGTTATAAATCCGCGAAAAAGCGTCGGCGGCGGCTTCGACAAGAGGTGAGAAGCAGCAGGTTCTTGGTGCAGAGGGTTGGGCGGGCGCATCTCGCGCCCCACGACGCCGACGCAACAAATACGGGGCGCCCCGACCCACAAAGCTGCGGACGAAAATCATAGTGCGGTGAACCTGGCTCTGGAGCGCTTGCCGTACGCTGCCGGCTCCCAAACCTCGACTTCGCACTCGACTCCGGCGCCCGCTCGTCGCGTCTCTCTCGAAAAGTTTTCGCATCGTTCCCAAAATAAAATCACTGGATAAACAAACAACTATGCAGTTCGGGATGCCGTTGTTGTGTCGCGAGGCCAAATCACGGCGCGCTTGGATGGTCACTTGCCCTGAGACGATATGACTTCAGGCGATGGGTAGCACTGTGTTCGTGCTGTCGCTGACCTTCGCGTTGGCCCTTTCGGCTCCGGACTGGATGGACTGCCCGGCGCCGTGTCAGTGCAAGTGGATATCTGGAAAGAAAACGGCGTATTGTAGGAAGCAAGGCATCACTTCCATTCCTACCTTTCTCGACGAGGGAATGCAAGTTCTCAATTTGTCTCTCAACACCATCCCGAAATTGCCCAAAGCCGCCTTTCAGAGCGTAGGCCTAATCCATCTCCAGAAGATTTACTTGACGAATAGCGGCATTAGCGAGATACATCAGGACGCTTTTAAGGATCTTATTATCTTAGTGGAGGTGGATTTGTCTAATAACTTAATTAGCTATCTCCATCCAAAGACTTTTCACGGTAACGAGCGCTTGCGTCTTCTGTATTTAAGTGGAAATCCGTTAGGAACATTATCGGAGGCTCAATTTCCCGTTTTGCGGCATTTAAAAATTTTGTATCTGGAGCAGTGCCAGTTGGAGTTTATTCATAGAAACGCCTTTGTTAACATTCCGACTTTGACGACGGTTAATCTCCAACACAACTTTTTGCGCAACCTGTCAGAGGCAACGTTTAGGGGTTTCTCCTACTTAACCACCTTAGAATTGGAAGGAAATCCGTGGCGGTGTGACTGTGAACTACGCGGCTTTCGGGACTGGTTCGTGTCCAGTAAACTCGCCGGATCTCTAATGTGTTACGAGCCCGAATCATTAAATGGACAGATTTGGAAAGATACACCTTCCACTGAATTCGCCTGCCCACCGCAGGTGTTTGCTTATCCCCAACATCAAGTTCAAGCCGAAGCCGGTGGTAATATTAGCTTCGGGTGCCATGTTCTTGGTGATCCAGAGCCTCAAGTATCTTGGCTCTATGAAGGTCATCCGATTAACCATACATGGTTAGTTATGCAAGCCGAAGAAGGACTCCTCGAAAAGTGGGTCAATATTACTATATCCAATGTCAGCGATGCGGATGTGGGCTTATATACATGTGTAGCTAGGAATCTACTAGACATAGACGAAGTGAATGTGACTTTAGTGCTTCCGGAGGTTGTAACCGCGACCACCCTTAGTAAATCGGACACTGCGGTGGTTTGGTGGGGTTTAATGGTGATAAGTGTGACTCTAGGATTATCGACTGTGATTGCTGTGGTTGCGGTGTGTTGTGCCCGCAAGAGAAACAACATGCGCCATGGCTTGCAGGCCAGCGTTAGTTTTACGGACCAGGAGAAGAAGTTACTGGACGCCAGCATTGCTACTACTACCGACCGAGGCACGGGTAGTATGGAGGCCATAGGGCCAGACCTCGATATCATGGATCAGCCTGTGCATATCACGATCGAGCGCGAGCCCGTACCGATGGTGGTGTTTCCACCCCCGCCAGAATTCAGTACCAGCGTCCTTCCAGCCGGCGCCTATGGTAACATTTTTATTTCGGTGTCAGTAAGCCGTGACCCTACGGCAGACATTTCCAGGTGTCCCGACCTGCTAGATCTGCCGCCCCGACCAAAGCGGGTGTACCATGGTATGGCGACGTTGCCGCGTCGCCCTATTCCGCCGCCCAACTACGACAACATGGGTCCACGAGTGACGGCGGGGGGCAGTTCGACTCTGTCGTTGCCAGACGCCACCGCCGCCCCCGCACAAACAGAGCTACCAATTCCCAAACTACCACTTTGCGCCCCCCCTGCCCAAGAGTTTGTCTCTCTCTAACCTCCTTATGGTTAATCTTCAATTAGTGCCTTTGCTCACATCAACAATTTACTTTTAACTAATTATAGATGTACGATTTTTCTAAATTGTTTCTCCCGTGTGATGTTTCAATGTTCAAATCTCATGACTATTCTTTAAGACCATCTAAGCTCTCCCTGTAAGTGTCTCTAAATATTCTCGCGTAGGATGCTCTGTGTCAGCAAGAAACCCTTCAAAATGAAAATAAGACTTTAATTGCACTATTGAGAATCCATTTAATTTATGTATTGTTAAATATGTTAGAGAAATAAATTAATCTTTTTTAAATAAAGCTATTTCATTTTTCTGTTTTAACACAATCATAGCCATTTATTTTATGGTATTGTTGACTTACATACTAGGTTGTAAACTAAATTTGACAAACAAAGGTCCGTTTAAATTGAAATTACTATATTTATTACAAAACGAATACCTATAAAACACATTTGCATTGTAAAAAGTTTTACACTTCAATTAAAACAGGACAGCATAACAATCCTGTTTAAAGACTTTTGAAATTTTTAAAAAACTACTTTTTTTCAATAGTAATAAATTTATAACATACATAAAACTTTGTATGTACTCATGCCTTAGGTGACATATTTTTTAGGGCAAAATTTTAATATAATTTATTGTTACTGTCAGAAATTACCCATTAAATTTTAGCAATACAAGTGTTTTGTATAATTTTGTAGTTTACTTATGTTAATAATATTTTACAAAAATCGAACAACACAATTTGTTCAACATATTAAATCACTTAATTTGATTTTTGCACTCTTGTTTGCTATTTTCGATTCAAAAACAATCTTTTTGCAATTGAAATTTAAGTAGGTACTAATAAATATTAATTTATTAGGTAATCGATTAATAAAAGTCGATATACCGAGTGATTCAAACTCGACTCTCACCACTGAGATCTTGAAAACGTTAAGAGATAATGAAAAATTGGTTTAACGTTGCCTATTAGTGAGCGCAAATGTAATTCGTTTAGTAATTGAACTTATCTTTATCATTTCCTGAAATATTAATTTTAACAGTTAAAAAAATCTATCACAATCTCAAAGAAACTTTCTTAGCTTCATCTTCGTCCTTTGGTGACGTGAAAAATCACTTACGACGTTTTGTTCTTCTGGAACCATCTGCATCAACTTCTTTTTTATTTCCTTTTTTAAAGCTTATCATCTCCCAAATACAATGATGTAGCACACTTGCTCAGGAAATGTAAAATAAAGAATATTCTTTAGATGCAATGAGAGAGATGAGTATACGGACCGCTTAACATTTCTGTACAAAATTAGCAACATTTTTTGAGTAAGTGCGATACATCATTGCAAAAAAGGAAATAACAATCCCGGTCCGTATTAAACAACTAAAGTTGATAATGGTTTCAGAAAAACGAAACGTTGTAAGTACGTTTTTCCAGAGTAAAAAAAAAGATATTGGACTTTTAATTTTATAAATCGCTACTTTAAAATTTTAAAAAAGCTCTTTTTAAGATCAAAATGTTAAATTAAAGCCTAAACTATCATTTGAGATTAAACGGGGAGTTCTAAATAAAGTTGCCGATTCTAAACAAAAACATTTATTTATAAGTTTTATAACATGTCTAATTAAATTTGACGTAATATTGCTGGTTGACGTTGCTGTAGACATATAAGGGAAAATACGTAAATAAAAAGAATTATTAATTGAGAATGTGTTTATAGATTTTTTCTGTCAAAATAAACTCGTCAAAAATAGAAACGAAAATCGTAAATTTTATTTTTTCAGCCATAATTCTGAAAATGACAAAGATAAGTTCAACTACCAAACAGATTCCCATCGGGCCGAGCATCGGGCTGACTAACAGGCTCACTAACTTTGTCGTAATTTAAGCCACTCCGTATCTCTTACCGTTTATAAATTTCAGTGGTGAGAGCCGAAATTGAAACACCTTGTATATTATCTTACAAATTTATGTACTTCATGGACAATATTTTTTACTCTTTATGATTACAAATAAATAATTCTATAATTATAAAAGTGATAAATACAAGGTGTTTCAAAGAACATCCGATTCTGATTTTTTTCGTAGTTACAGGAGGTTAAAGTCTTAATTTTTTTCCGATTTCCTATAATAATTTTCTCCCAAGTCCTTTTATGTACTTGTGTCCTTGTTCGAATGAAATTTTGAAGGTAAAAGTCTCTGGGGGTAAAATATTCTATAAGTGCGACATATTTTAATGCTAAAAAACGTCAACATATTCACCAGGGACGTACAGGGTGGGTCAAATTCGACGCTTTTAAATGAAAACACCCTTTTCTATAGGAGATAGACGAAAACTAATATCAGTGTGTGGAGCTAAATTTTGATCAAAAACATGATGGTGAAAACCGCACATCAATATCTGTTACCGTTTCGGAGTTACGGGGTGTTTTTCAAAAATGTGCATTTTTAATAAACCACTGTAACTTTTTTGCTATGGAAAATTTTGTATTTCTATGAAAACATTCCCAAAGCACCTTTTTACGTAGAGTTTAATGGTTTAAGCATAAGTTTTTTAAAAATAATAATTTAAGAGTTATCAACAGAAAAATTGATTTTTTATTTGGGACACCCTCTATATTTTTAATTAACTGAAAAGAATTTAAAATTACCTTTCCACAAATAGAGCACACTTGATATTTTGTTATAATCCCCTTCGAAATACAGAATTTTTAAAAGTTCGCCACTTTTAACTAGTAGGCTTTGGATCCCTTATTGATGATATGCCCTTAATGGAACTCGAAAACATATTTTTCCACCAAGACAACGCACCGCCTCTGAATGCTGAAGTTATCAGCAAATTTTTGCAGCCAATTTCAAGAATAATTGAATAGCTAACCAAGATCCCAGCCGTTGGCCGTCGAGGCCGCCTGACTTAGTGCCCATGGATCTAATTCTATGTATATATTTGCGGAAGAATAAAGGTTCCTTATTCTTCCGTATAATCTAGACAAGAATTAGAAATACTTTGCAGTGATGAGAGGGTATCTTTCACCCCCACTGAGTTAATGAATTCCGCGAGAAATGTTGAAAAACTGCCCCGTCTGTCCGTAACAGAAGACGGTTGATATGTTGAACACCTGTAGCAAAATCTCATGTCTTGGTTTGCTATTTATTTTTATTGTTATTAGATAGTTTAAATGTGTTGATGTTGGTTAAATATATTTTAAATTGTTATAAAATTCTGCATCTCTCATAGCAAATATTATTTTCGTTTTAATTGATGCTCACAGCTAATTTTTTTTGCATTACAGCCGGTGCTGTTCAAAGCCTACTTATTTAAAGCGGGCGAATTTTTATATACTCTATATCTCGACGAGCAAAATATCAAGTGTGTTATATTTTTGGAAAGGTAATTTTAAATTCTTTTCAATAAATTAAAAATATACAGGGTGTCCCATATAAAAAATCAAGTTTTCTGTTGATAAATCTTAAATTATTAATTTTAAAAAAATTATACTTAAACCAATAAATTCTACGTAAAAAGGTGCTTTGGAAATGTTTGCATAAAAATACAAAATTAGCAAATAGCAAAAAAGTTACAGCGATTTGTTAAAAATGCATATTTTTGAAAAACACCCCGTAACTCCGAAACGGTACCAGATATCGACATGGGGTTTTCACCATCATGTTTTTGACAAAAATTGAGCTCCAGACACCGATATTAGTTTTCATCTATCTCCTATAGAAAAGGGTGTTTCCATTTAAAAGCGTCGAATTTGACCCACCCTGTACATATGGGTTATCACTGGAATATTTTCTAAAAAAAAGCGTGTGCGCCACTGACTTTTATTTCTCTTGTTAGCAAAATTATGTGCATTGTTTAATACCGATTAAAAGTTGTATCTTGGTATTTTGTCGATTTCGATCTCCTTGATGAGACCAAGGCGTTTTTATTAATTTGCCTTAATGCAAGTCTTTTTGTGCAAACGTTTAAAAAATTTTAATATTATTAACTGGCTAAGGTGTTAAATAGATATTAATTGACTCCTAGTTCTTATAAACATAGATGCGGAAATGTGTAGTTTTGAAGTTATTGAAATTTGCCATACTAAACATCAGTATCATATATTTCAATAAAATTTAATAATGAATTAGATTAAATATATAATTTATTAATAATTGTGATTAATAAGATTGCGTTTTAATCGGCATTAAAAGATTGCGTTTTAATCGGCAGGAAAAACAATTTTGCTAACAATAGAAACAAAAGTCAGTGGCGCTCATGTTTTTTTAGAAAAATATTCCATTGATAACTCATATGCACGTCCTTGGTGAATAGGTCGGCACTTTTTTAACAATAAAATGTGTTGCACTTATAGTAACTTTTATCCTCAAAATTTCATTCGAATCGCATATCGTAAATCATAAAGGCACTTGAAAGAAAATTATTATAAATCTAAAAAAAATAAGAATTTTTTTTTCTTCGTCGTCGTCTCTACATGTCTGAAGAATCGTGACATTATGGCTATGTGCTATGTTGGTGATTTTGATATTCCATCGTTGGCGATCTTCCGCCTCTCGGAGATTTGATTGAAATGGATGACCTGTAATATTTGCTATTTGGTCAAGCCATCTCGATGGTGATCGTCCTCTGGGTCTTCGACTTTAAGCTACCGTAAATACAAAACAAAGCAGCAATCTGACCTATATGGTAAAAAATTTATATATATATATATATATATATATAAGTCGGTTCAGAACGTTTTTTCTACGACGTTTTCCGACACCTAACCTCCACTCTTCTTTATTTAGCCAGAGATCATCAAGTATTTCTCTATTTTCTAGTTCTTTATCCACACCCTCCCTCCAGCTTCGTCGCGGCCTTGTTGAATTTGTTTTGGTATTCTGTGATCGGGCATTCGTTGCACATGACCAAACCATATGAGTTGTTTTGTTTTTATGTCGTCCACAATTGTGTGTTCTGCTCCCATAATCTCTCTTACTCTGTCGTTGGTTATTTGTTCTCTTTTCGATTTTCCAGCAGATCTCCTCCAGTAATCCATTTTGGTCGCTAATAGCATGTTTTCTGTTCTGCTTTTCAACTGCCATACTTCGCTTCCGTTATTATGCTTTTCACTACCGTATTATATATGTTCTTCTTATTAGCTTTAGAGATTCCTTGATCCCACAGTACACCATTCAACATAGATATTGCCCTCCTGCCTTGCATTATTCGATCTTTTATACCTTCATCGAGTTTTCCATCGTTAGTTATTTTCTATCGTTAGTTATTATTAAAAAATTTAAATCTTATT